CATTAGATAATGCCACATTCTTTCCCATAGGTACAGTATGACATTTCTCAGAAAAAGTTGTTTAGATCTAAAAAAATGACAATAATTATTGATCCCTTTGTGACACAACTCTTTAAAAACAGTTTCACTGTTATTAGAATTATTGCATTCTGGGACTATGTTTTTCAAACAGAAAAAAAAAACACCCTCTAACAACTTCAGTAAAATGATAAATCTACAGTTAAAAATGCTTTTGCTGCATAAAGGGCTATTATAAGCATTTTTAAAGTAGGGTTCTTGAAAAAAGGCCAAGACTCTATGGCCCAGTATGCTCTTTTTGAAACCAGTTTTAGCATAAACAAACACATTCACAAACTTCTGATCAACCACACAATTACAGGTGCTGGTCATAAAATTAGAATATCATGAAAAAGTAGATTTATTTCAGTAATTCCATTTAAAAAGTGAAACTTGTATATTATATTCATACATTACATACAAACTCATATATTTCAAATGTTTATTTCGTTTAATTTTGATGATTACAAATGACAACAAATGAAAATCTCAAATTCAGCATATCAGAAAATTAGAATCTTGTGAAAAGGTTCAAAATGGATGGCACCTGGTACCACACTCTAATCAGCTAATTAACTCAAAGCACCTGCAAAGGCCTTTAAATGGTCTTTCAGTCTAGTTCTATAGGCTACACAATCATGGGGAAGACTGCTGACTTGACAGTTGTCCAAAAGACGACCATCGACACCTTGCACAAGGAGGGCAAGACACAAAAGGTCATCGCTAAAGAGGCTGGCTGTTCACAGAACTCTGTGTCCAAGCACATTAATAGAGAGGCGAAGGGAAGGAAAAGATGTGGTCGAAAAAAATGTACAAGCAAGAGAGATAACCGCACCCTGGAGAGGATTGTGAAACAAAACCCATTCAAAAATGTGGGGGAGATTCACAAAGAGTGGACTGCAGCTGGAGTGAGTGCTTCAAGAACCACCACACACAGACGTATGAAAGACATGGGTTTCTGCTGTCGCATTCCTTGTGTCAAGCCACTCTTGAACCACAGACAGCGTCAGAAGCGTCTTGCCTGGGCTACAGAGAAACAGGACTGGACTGCTGGTGAGTGGTCCAAAGTCATGTTCTCTGATGAAAGTAAATTTTGCATTTCCTTTGGAAATCAAGGTCCCAGAGTCTGGAGGAAAAGAAGAGAGGCACTTCATCCACGTTGCTTGAAGTCCAGTGTAAAGTTTCCACAGTCAGTGATGGTTTGGGGTGCCATGTCATCTGCTGGTGTTGGTCCATTGTGTTTTCTGAGGTCCAGGGTCAACGCAGCCACATACCAGGAAGTTTTAGAGCACTTCATGCTTCTTGCTGCTGACCAACTTTTTGGAGATGCAGATTTCATTTTCCAACAGGACTTGGCACCTGCACACAGTACCAAAGCTACCAGTACCTGGTTGAAGGACCATGGTATCCCTGTTCTTAATTGGCCAGCAAACTCTCCTGACCTTAACCCCATAGAAAATCTWTGGGGTATTGTGAAGAAGAAGATACAATACACCAGACCCAACAATTCAGAAGAGCTAAAAGCCACTATTAGAGCAACCTGGGCTATCATAACACCTGAGCAGTGCCACAGACTGATCGACTCCATGCCACGCCGCATTGCTGCAGTAATACAGGCCAAAGGAGCCCCAACTAAATACTGAGTGCTGTACATGCTCATACTTTTCATGTTCATACTTTTCAGTTGGCCAACATTTCTAGAAACCCTTTGTTTTTATTGGTCTTCAGTAATATTCTAATTTTCTGATATGCTGAATTTGAGATTTTCATTTGGTGTCATTTGTAATCATCAAAATTAAACGAAATAAACATTTGAAATATATGAGTTTGTATGTAATGTATGAATATAATATACAAGTTTCACTTTTTAAATGGAATTACTGAAATAAATCTACTTTTTCATGATATTCTAATTTAATGACCAGCAACTGTATTACTTATGTGGCAGTAAGGGGTGAAAAGTTCGGATCAATATTTACCTTTAAAACCTAAATGATCTGAGGCCTGTATTCTGCCCTCTAGAGGATACTCATTCTACTGCAGGCAGACAAACAAATTTTTTTTTTTGCTTCAATAATTTGGGATTTTCTTCGCAATTTTTATTGCTTGTGAATATTGACTGTACGTGTTGGGTGTATCCAAGCAATAGTACATCGATCACTGGGGTTGTTGGGGTGAGCACACACATTTTTTAAAAATTTTCCTGTTTTTATTAGTTTAGGGAGTTACACAGCATCTCTAGTAGGTTCAATGTTTGCCACCAATGCAACATTTGACATGTCAGTTCCTGGGCTCCACTAGACCCCTGAAGGTTTATTCTGACATCTGGAATCAAGTCATCAGCAGCTAATTATTTAGGTCCTTGAAATTTGAAAATGCATCTTGTTTTGTCTCAATTGGACTGTGATCTGGAGAATTTGGGATAAAGTCAGTGACCCTCAGCCTCCATGTTAAAACAAAAACTTGACTGGAGTTGGGTTGTGGGGGCAACAGCTAGATCTGGGAGGTCCAAACCTCTCTTTCCCCAGCCATCTCTTTCAGCTCTTCTGGGAGGGTTTCAAGGCATTCCCAGGCCAGCCAAGAAACAGCGTATCCTGGGTCTTCCCCGCGGTCTCCTCCCAGATGGATATGCCGGAAGCGCCTCCCTATGAAGGCGTCCAGGGAGCATTCTTACCCAATGCCCGAACCACCTTAACTGGCTTGCTTTCTCTTTTAACTTGATATCATTTGTTTTTTATATAAAGTAAAATAAGGAAATATTCATTAGAACATGAAAACTTGGTCTGCTGTCTTTTACTGTTCATGTGACTTTAGAGGTGGACACAAGTCAGTATTGTCACCCTGGCCAATGTGGCTACAACCACCCCTGTGCATTCTGAAACTAACATTTTCTTCTGTACTTTAAGCCTGTTTTTTATGTCTTTGCAACATTTTGGTATAGGTCTTGACCAATGCATACCAGGACAATTCCACTAGACCTACTGTATATTTGATGACCCGTGGTCATTCTAGGATCCATGCATCTAACTATTATTATTGATTTTTTTTGCCAGTTTCTCAAATATTTAAACTTGCCCATTTAGTCAGGATGCTTAAAATTCAACATATTGTCCACATTCAGGTGTAAAAATTTGATTTTACACTTTACCTGTCAGTAGTCAAAGTGTTATGGCTGATTTGATTTGGTGTCCCATTTACACAAAGTACAGAAGAAGTCGTGTGAACACAATGAACTATTTAAATTTATTCTCAAAAACAAAAGTTTCTCTTTAATCAACTGATTAGCTGCTTGATTAGTATTACTGAATGCAAATGTAACACTGGGATAACCTTTACAGTCATGGGGGGAAAAGACAGTCCAACTTCTGTCAGTTCTGGGGTTTTACACTTCAGGATAGAATAACATTTATTTGGTCTTTACAAGGTTCTAAAGTTATTCAAATCTACACTCAAGTCTACAAAAAGTCACAACATATTTAACCATTTTGTTATTTAATAAACATAAACTAAGCCAAACTGAAAGAAGATGAGTGTGAAAAAAAAAGTCCAGTTTTGTTTTCTATTTTATAGTAAGACGGAGAGCAGCGTGATGCTCAGAGAAACTATGAAATACCCAAGAGCTCCAGCTCACCTGACAGGACAAACATGGTAAATGACCTGAACGTATATATCGCTTTCTCAAATCCAAGGACACTACAGTCATTCACCCATTCACACACATTCACACACTGATGATGGTAATTACGCTGTAGCCACAGTTGCAGTGACAAGGTTGCCATGCACCTGCATCAAGTTTTCCTATTCATACGCACAACTTAACAGCAAATCTGTTCGTACAAAACGGTTCTCGCATGAGACCCATTGTCCTCCTGATAGGTGAAACTGTGGTAGAGCTGCTTTTTACCCATGATGCCATGAAACATGTTTGGCCAAAACCAAACACGGCATATAACCACACTTTTATACCAACTTTCATAAATGAAGTTGGGCACCAGTCAACCATAAACTCCTCTATTAATGTGAGTCAAATGTAAAGCTTTCTGTTTAAGAGCTGAAGCTTAAAACAATAGGACAAAGGTTTTAAAGGAGAGCAGAAACATCTAACAGAATGACTGAAAAAGAAAATAATCAATGTGGTGCAATGGTTCAATCAAATTCAGACTTTAACCTGACTGAAATAATGTGTTAAGACCTGAGTTGCGCAGAAACAAATACCTGCAAACCTCAATGAACTGAAAAGAAGATTGGGCCAAAATACCTCTTATGTATGGAAGAGACTGAGAAAGTGGTTCTACATAATGAATCATAAAGTGTACTCATTTTTCACACAGCTTTTCCATTTGGGCTTTATCTGTGTTTATTTAAACATGACATACGGCAGAATCTGTGGTGAGGTTAGAATTTAATAATTGTTTGTTTAGACCTGATTTTTTTTAAATCTTCTAATACAGAAAACCTCAGATAGTGGACGTTTTCCTCCAGAACTGTATTGCGCTTTTAATAAATACAGCTCACAAGTGATTTTGAGGCGTGTGTGTGTTGGGGAGGGTGGGAGTACTAAACAGACCTGACACTGAAAGATGAAAAGGTTTCACATGGATAAAAGCCTCCCACCGTCCTTCCTGCTCCAGGAGCCGCGTGTCACCTTTAACCTGGTTCCCAGGGCGGGTGGGCAGGTGGGCAGGCGGGCAGCGCGCGGAGGTGCTGTGGACAATCTGCGCGTAAAGAGGCGCGTCGGTGAAGTCAGCATCCGTTCCTCTCCATCTCTCCCCCTGCGAGCAGCAGACCTCCTCCCGAGTCCGCGCCGGACAGGAGCAGCTCAGAGCGCGGACGGATCGGTTCTGCTGTCCATCTGCACACCGACCCTTCTTTAAAACACGATCCACCCGTCAGCGGACTTTCTGCCTCCCTCTGTCCACTGTCGGGACATTCAGTGACGCATTATTTCCGGATGCTTGCTTTGAAATTCTACACGCTCTTGTCTGAGAATAACTTTTCAAGTTGTTGGCACGGAGTAAGGCTACAGAGATGAAGTAAGTGCAGATTTAATAAGAATTTCCCTTTGTTTTCTGGGTGTAAACCGAAGCGCACTCACTAAAGTCTCTGTGGTTCTGTTTATTAGTAAATGAGCAAAGTGTTTGCTGTAAAAACAGTTATCTGCTGCAAGTTTAAGAATGGGAACCTAGAAACTAAAGGTCAAACTGAATAAAATTTACATAAATGCAGTTTTTTTATACTGCACTGTAGGAATATACTGAATATTTAGTCAGATAATGGCATTGGGACACAAACAGATTCAATTAACTATAATAAAACTCCATCAAAAGGCAAAATGCAACTTACCAAAAAAGCTGTATTTTTTCATTGTCAGACAGTAAATGTGAATGCATTAAAATCATCTCTGCTCTGACTGTGCAGAAAAAAGTCAACCCATTTGCAGTTGTGCAACCAAATATAAAACTCTGCACCTTACATAATACCACACTACACACTGAAATCCAGTGTCAAAACCTTGCAGAAACAAGCTTTACATAGAAAATTAAATCTCCCTCTTCTTCTAACAAAAGTCCAAATAAAACAGGCATCCATTTCAAATTTGCTTATTTTCTAATATAAATTAAGGACATTTTAACACAAAAATAATTTATTTGCTGTTTGTAGAGTCATAAAATTCAGTACTGGATGCAGGCTTAGAGCTAAAGAAACCAGATTTAACACCATAAATTTAAAATGTAGAGTCGCACAAAGCTCTGCAAAAATATTCAGCTATAATTTCTTCATATTTTGTTTCCAAGGAGTCAGACTTTCTACTTTGAATAATTTGTACTGAGGGTTTCTGAAAGTTTTTAAAAATATTCTTTTATTTTATATATATTATTATTATATATATATATATATATGTTTCACTTGTGGATCTCTCAAAAGTTACTTAGCTTAAGGTATGGATAAAAAAAGGATGTCCAAATATAACCCACTTTGGCAGACAAAACAAAATGCCATTGTAACAATATGATGATTCTCAAAGATTGCTGTAGACAAATCTTATCATGGTGTGCAGGTTGTTCATAAAAACAAATGAGCAGATTGGATAAGGAAAAGATGTGGCAGACATTAAAATTAGAGCAGATGAACAGTATCTCAGTCAGAAATTTTGAAGATTATTGGAAAAATCCAGCATGGAGGATGTGAAATTCACCTTACTTCATCCTTCAGCATTTGATGAAGGATGATGAAGAGCAAAACTCTCTTTAGGAATCACTCTATTGGCACTAAAACACTACATTATGTTATGCCTGTCAAACATCAGTGGGGGTCTTCTTTAAAATATTCTACGTGTAACGTAGTGATTTAGGTGCAATTAAATTGGATTCAGCTACTTTTTCTAGTTCATCACTTAGGTCAGATGTTTTTATTCTTTTATTTTTTTCCAAAAGATGCACACCCATGACTTTTTCAATACGCACTCTGTTCAGGGATTTGCAGAAAACTGTTAGGTACACCCTGCGAGTCCATCACAGCACCACACAGAGACAAACAAACACACTCACACCAAATGCTTTGGAACTGTGGGAGGAAACTAGAGTACCATGAGATGACCAGCAGACACACACACATGCAACCTGGATAATATTTGCTCATGAAGACTTTACATTTTTTAAGGATGTCTGGTTATTTAATAAGGACTGTGATTCAAGACTTTTGCACACTACAAACAATCATGTCAGACATTTAAATTCATGTTTAGAGCAAAGACAATCTTTCAATTTGTTCTTAAGTCTGCTGTTTCTAACAACTTTTCTATTTGACCCTAGTCCAGAAGCCATTGAATGCATTATGGGAACTCGTCTTTTGCACACACACTAAGGTTGCTAGGGTTTATGAAAACTGTTGATTGAAACATGGGGCAGCATCCAAACAGAAAATAGCAGCTTATCAGAAAACTGAAATAAAATCCAGATAAGAGATTTATATCAATATCCTGCTGCATTTATCTGTTCATACATTTTGTAGGCCAACTGGTAGAACAGTCATTCCTGGAAATTATGTAATCACTAAAAGATGTAAAATAATAAAAATAAAAATAACATAGTTATGAAATGTGTTTTTCTTTTCTAGATCTGCCTTCCTATGCAAAGATCACATGGTTTCACTATGACCAAAGCCATCCAGCCAATTGGTCCTTTCCCTCCTTTAGAGGACCCTTAGTTTCCCAATGGTTTACAGCAGAAGCACTCCAGTTCTGTCTCTCCTTCTGTAAAAGACATTGGATAAAGTTTGACCCCATCACCACCATGGCAGCTATCCTAGATGCACCCTGCTTGTCAGAGCTCGGCGGACTGCATCACAAGAATCTCAGTCTTGTCTCTGGAACTCGACCCTGCAACAGGAGCACCATTCGAACTTCAAACTACTCACCACAAGCCACTGCAGCCTTTGCCATCGCCATCACCTTTATGATGATCTTGACCATAGTCGGGAACATCCTGGTCATCATCGCAGTCCTAACGTCCCGATCCCTAAAGGGGGTGCAAAACCTCTTCCTGGTCTCACTTGCTGCAGCAGATATTTTAGTCGCCACCCTAATTATTCCCTTCTCGTTGGCCAACGAGTTGCAGGGCTACTGGGCATTCAGTTCCATTTGGTGTGAAATTTATCTGGCACTAGATGTTCTCTTCTGCACGTCCTCCATTGTGCACCTGTGTGCAATAGCTCTGGACCGTTACCTGTCAATCTCTCGGCCTGTGTCTTACGGCACCAAACGCACATCCACGCGCATCAAGGTGGCCATTATCATCGTCTGGCTGATTTCTGCAGTAATCTCGTTCCCTCCTCTCCTCACCTTGGACAAGAGTGAAGGAGGTGAAGAGAAGTGTGAGCTAAACAGCGAACGTTGGTATATCCTCTACTCCACCGTTGGCTCATTCTTTGCCCCCTGTGTGATTATGATTCTTGTTTACATTAGGATTTATCAGATTGCCAAGCAGCATACTCGCCACCCACCTGGACAGAAACACAAGCCAGTGGAAGGAGTTAATGTTGGTGTGGGAGTCAATGAGCCTGCTGCGAAGTTACCTGAGCTATTGCAGAAAACTGAGAACCATGGAAGCCCTACTCCTAGCCAACAAAAATTAGATTCCATAACATCCCCGTCAGATTCCACACAGTCTTCACTTAAGAAGCCAGTCAAAGAAACCAACAAGCATCATCCTCCTCAGTCGAGTACAGAACAAAACCCTGTTTCAGTTCCACCATGTGAAAACCCAGGCCGTACCGCTGTTTCCCACACAAAGACCCAAAAGCAACTGGAGTCAGGCAAGGAAGAACATCCTGATAACACCTCCAGCTCTGGCTCCGATGCTGATTTGGAAAATGACGAGGGTGGCCATCAAGCAGAGGAGGCCGAACGAAATGAAAACAATCCTGACAGACAAAATTTGGGGCTTTCCCAAAACACAATGAACAAAAGTCAGGTTGCGAGTCTGGCCTGCAGACACAAAAACACAATTATGACATCATCTGGAACCAAACTAGTCCCTGAGGACATGTCTAAGACTCAGGGGACACCCATTTCCCGGCGTAAAGCCATGATGAACAGGGAGAAGAGGTTCACCTTTGTCCTGGCTGTCGTCATGGGAGTGTTTGTCGTCTGCTGGTTCCCCTTTTTCTTTTCGTACTCTCTGAAGGCAGTGTGTCCCAACACTTGCAGCATACCCGACCCTCTATTTAAATTCTTCTTTTGGATCGGCTACTGCAACTCCTGTCTCAACCCTGTCATTTACACCATCTTCAACAAAGACTTCAGAAGGGCTTTCAAGAGGATACTTTCCAGGGACACAAAGGGTACATTCTTTTAAGGGAGACACCATTGCCGTGTCTTGAACTACACTTAGATGAAAAGACTGACCAGAAATGAGTTCCATCTTTCTACGCTGCCTGCATTTGACAGGGGTTGATTTTGTGCTGCATGGACGTAAACACTTGTACATTAAAGGGGAAATTGCTTTTTTTTTTTTGTTTTTCCTCGCTTGCAACCGCATCACAGCAAGCTTTGACAAAAAAGGAGAAGCCACAGTAAAGTGGTGAAAATCAATGATCTTTAATCTTATTTAAGAATGCAGTAATTGTATATTTTGTGGATCTGAAGAAATATTGATTCATCTGCATCATAAAAGAAAAATCAAAAGAATTTAGGCTCTGTGATTACAAATATTGTGATAATGTGTGTTTGTGTTTGCTGGTGTAAATGCAGAGGAGAGGAGTTGCCCAAGGGTCTAACCGGCAGAGAACAAATATCACTAAGTGTCCTTTATCAGAGATAAAATGGGCACTGAGGGAACACAAGATGAAGGAAAACATCTTCATCCCTGTACCCCTCCAGCTCTTTCTTTTTTTCTTTCTTTCTTTCTTTCTTTCTTTCTTTCTTTCTTTCTTTCTTTCTTTCTTTCTTTCTTTCTTTCTTTCTTTCNTTTCTTTCTTTCTTTCTTTCTTTCTTTCTTTCTTTCTTTCTTTCTTTCTTTCTTTCTTTCTTTCTTTCTTTCTTTCTTTCTTTCTTTGCAATATCTTGAGAACAGCTCATTAAAATGACAGGCAGAAGCTTTATTGAAAAAAGAACTAGAACAAGACAGCTTAAATCAGCTGATTTTGCATGACTCTGAACATTTGAAGCTGCATCAGCTGAAATGTCTATTTTCTCCCAGTGCTTCTTTTACCCTTAATGTTTTTTTTTTATCTGTTAAACTTAAAGTGACCCAGCGAGACACTGAATGTTCTCGGTTTCATCTAAACATGTGTTTCAATGTTCAAGACTCTGTTGAAGAAACAAGTGGATGAACAACTGTTCCTGTTTAGATGCCACCATTGGTTAATTACAGCTTATATGGTAATTCATGTCCACTCATTAGCTTTCAGTACAAGGATTGTAGATATTTATAGATGCTTTCTGTACATGCTGTTTTGCTTTTAAAAACTGGAAACCAAATAAATAACAGGGAGCATCAAATTCACTATGAAGTGGTTCACTCACCCAGAAAACACAGCACTCAGGGGCAGATTCAGACCACAGCAGGACTCAAATGTATCAGTCAGTTACTAAATCCACAACAAAAAAAATGCAAGGCCATCCCGAGAACACTAAGAGCTAACAGAGCAGGCTAGAAACCACCACAAAAAAATCATTCAAATTTATTACCGGAAGACTTAAAGTCACTTCAAACAAAACCAAATGTCTACAAATTAATGTCTTTTTTATGTTTTCCTAAAATAACATCCTTCTACAGAATTGCATGTCCTTGCCACAGCTGTGTCCTTAAAACCAAGTTCAACTGGTTTTTTTTAATTGATAACCTCTGATAATCTTACTTAAGAAAATGCAAATTCTTTTTAAAAGTCTTATCCAAACCTAAAGATCCCCTGTTCCACTGAGACACCGATTTATTGGCAGGATCTTAAGAACACTACAAGGTGTAAGTCCTGTATCCTCCTCGTTGCACTGTGCCAAAGCAGCAGACTGAGCGCAAACTTAAAACTGACCCTGAAGAAGAGCAGAATCCCTGATGAAGATGCTTTTTCTCACTGTTGGCAGATCTGACTGTGGGTACAGGAATGATCTGTGTGTGTGTGTGTGTGTGTGTGTGTGTGTGTGTGTGTGTGGCCTTGAGTTTGCAACTGCATGTTTTTGAAAGATGCATTTCTTTTTTTTTTTTATTTGGGAAACTGCCTGTTGTAAGATATAGCTGGCATATTCAGCCAACTTTTGTGAAATTTTGTGTAAACACAAATGTATTTTGATTGTCATTTAAAAGTCCAACTGAAATTAAAATGCATGATTTAGTTTTATTTTTTCTGCCTGATTCGCCTTGTGCTGTGCTTTGAGAAATAAATATCTATCCTGCTTTACATTTTAAATGCAGTAACTACTATTTGGTCTAAACTAAGCTGAGTCTAGAATCCTACTCTTGGTTGTCCTTTCTTATATTCTCAAGAAAATTACACATCTGAATTGTGTAATCATTTGTATTACCAAAGAAAAAAATACAAAATGTCTTTAAGTTTGTGGAATAGTGGTGACACCTGTCAGACATTTGTTTACATCACCATATATTGCAAAACCACTCACTCATAGACTTTATGCAAAACAGTTTATGATCATTTGGTAAACCTTGTCTGGTGACTCATGGAGGATTTATGAACGAAAAATCAAGCTAACACCAATCCATACATTTTCCATATGTGATTCATTCAGTTCATGTAGAGCCCATCTCAGCAACCAATCCCACATAGCAGACAGATGTAGGCCATATCTGGTGTCAAGCTGGCACTGTTTAGTGACCGAAGGCATGGCAAGTGGTTTGTCAACCAGATGTAGGCCAGGTCTGGCAATGATGGGATTGTTTATAAAATGGCATTCCACAATTGGCCTGAATGTGGTTTGGTTTATGTGACCCAAATCAGTCAATGTCACAACTGGCCCAGTTGTAGATTGGTTTATGTGGTGCTGGCCCATACATGAACCACCTCTGGCAATCCACATCTGGCCCATCAAAGGGCTGTCAATCTGTGCAGTATCTGAGCTGAGTGTTAGTGCATTGCGTGGGCCAGAGCTGGATCAGACAAACTGTGATATGTGAGGTGTCATAGCTAACTGTGTGGACCATCATCATAAAGGCATATTTTCTTTCTCTTGCTGTTCAGAATAACCAGAATGTCAATTGCTCGGGATGTTTCCATGTTGTATTTTTTGGAATCAGAGTCTGTGCAGTAGGAATGTGAAGTAGTACCCCAAGTACCTTGAATGAAAAGGAGTTTTACAGGAAATCAAAAACAAAATACAACCCCAATTCTATTGGTACACTGTAAAACAAAAATAAAATCAGAACACAGAGATTTGAAAATCACTATATTTGAAACCCATATTCATTTGAATTCAATTCAAAGGTGCTACACTAAAACGTTCAAATAGATAAACTTCATTGTATTTTGCAAATATTCACTAATTTTGAATTTAATTCCTGCAATATGTTCCTAAAAATGCTGGGACAGGGGCAACAAAGGACTAAAAATGTTAAGGAATGCTTAAAAAACACCTGTTTGGAGCATTCCATAGTAGAACAGGTTAATTGGAAATGGATGAGGGTCATGACTAAGAGTAAAGGGAGCATCACTGAAAGGCTCGGCCATTTCTCAGGAAGGATAGGGTGAGGTTCATCACTTTGTGAATAACTGAGTGAGCAAATATTCTAACAGTTTAAGAATGTTTCTCTAAATACAGTTGCAATGAATTTTGAAATTTCATCATCTACAGTCCATAATAATGTCAAAAGATTCAGAGAATCTGAACAAATCTCTGCAAGTAAGTGGCAAGGCTGAAAATCAGCATTGAATGCCTGTGAACCTTTGATCTTTAAGGCAGCACGGCATTAAAAAAACGTAATGGGTATCATCACATGGGCTCAGAAACACTTCAGAAATCCATTGTCAGTGAACACAGTTCATCACTACTAAGTGCAAGTTAAAACTCTACCATGTAAAGCCAAAGTCATATCAACAACACCCTGAAATGCTACCAGCTTCTTTGGGTCTGAGCTCAGCTGAGATGAACTGACACAAAGTGGAAAAGTGTCCTGTGGTCTGGTGAGTCCACATTTTAAATTGTTTTTGGAAATCATGGATGTTGTGTCCTCCAGGCCAGAGGAAAAAGACTGTCTAGATTGTTATCAGTGTAACGTTCTAAAGCCAGCATCTCTGATGGTAGGGGGTGCTAGTGCCCATGGCATAGGTAACTTGCACATCTGCGAAGGCAGCATTAATGCTGAAAGTTACATACAGGTTTTGGAGCAACATATGCTACCATCCAAGCTATGTCTTTTTCAGGGACATCCCTGCTTATTTCAGCATGACAATGCCAAGCCACATTCTGCATGTGTTACAAAGTGGCTCAAGGGCGGAGTGGGCAATCCAGAGCATCAGGAGAATTCCCAGTGGGCCGCTTCATTCAGGGGTCGGTTGGCACTGGGGGAAATAATGACAGTAGAATATGAATTTCATCAGTTCTATTAACTCAGAATTGATGTGTCACTTTAAGAGACAGGACTGGCAGTTTCACAGCCACCATTTAACAAAAAATACAGGCTTTGTTGAGTACACCCCAATAGTGCAAAGCCCATCTCTCACTAGGTGGAGGAGAAGCGGCTGGGTCAAGCTACTGATCATCAAATAAAAATGGATAGAAGAGACCAAGTGGGACTATAAAAGCCAGGTTGAAGAAAGATAGGTATTACTGGAGAATGCTGCCAAATGTGCAAAGCTCACTGATACTTTTTACACGATCATTGTTCCCATTGGACAGTGATGATGGGGCGGGACAGAGCACAGACCCAGAAAGAAAGATGGTGCTGTGAATACATGGTAAGTGTGATGCAACCCAAAGGAGAAAAGAAGCTCTGTATTCCCGGACCCACAACGACTCATTGTTTGAAGTGCAATGGTAGAATTAGCAACCATGTTTCCTAGAAACGGTGGCTCATAAAGTCCAAAAAGATGCACATTTCTTGTAGTTGGTTCGGTTCGAAGCCGGTTTGTATTCACACCAGAAGCAAACCACACCAGAGTTCATTTGGAAGCAGACTGAGACCACCTCAAAAATGGGTCTTGGTCTAGTTGTTAGATCTGCACTAGGGTTTGCATGAGTGTATTCACACTTGCATAAAAGGTCCAGACCAACAGGGGAAATGGACTCTGATCTGTTTAAAGCAGACCAAACGTGTCAGGTGTGAATACTCTCTAAAACTGGTGGTGCAAGAGGGCATCTTAGCGATTTGAAAGATAAAGAGTAACATATTTGATCAGCAATGTCATTCTTGCTTTTACACTGAAGGAGGTTTTACAAATTTGCTGTGATCCACCCACATTGCAACCCCTAATTTGCATGCGTTCCAGCTCCGCTCCGTTCCGGTCCGACCTCCGCAGCAAATGCACACCCATTATAATCAATGTGAGTGTTTACACTGGCTGCGCATGGCGGCGGTGAGCGGACGGTGATCCGGCAAAATTAGAACAGATCCTATTTTTGCCGGACGCCAGAGCTGCGCCGGAGTCAATTTTTAAAGATTACGTCACACCAACAGGAAAAAAAAACTAGCACAACATCCATGTTTTCAAAATAAGACACTATTAAGTGGGATAATTTGTTGGAATAATGTCGAAATCCCAACCATATTAATCAACATATGGATATATCTTAGTATCTTAGAAGTTTCAGAAAGATGAAAGTGATACAATTTCAACATATTTATCAAAAGACTTTATATCGTTATTTTCAGCTGTGTTTGGAGTTCGTCTTTCACAGGATTAATTATTTTTTGCTGTGACTTCCACATTTATCACTGAATTTATCGCACAGTATCCTTCCTGCACACCTTCCTGACACCC